TCATTCTCCTCCTCCCTCGCTCTCCCTCTTTCGCCCGCTTTCTCTGTCTGCACTATACTAGGTTTGTTCTGCACAGGTGGCTGTACCTATGCGGTGTCTCTCACGGCATCACAATGCCGATGATGAGTCATCAGTAGCCGGCAACCCATTAACAAGGGTCGTGAAATTTTGAAATCGCGCCGCGTCACCGCACCCGACGGAAACGCGTGCAGTGGTGTAGTCTATAGAATAGCACGTCGACAGCGCACCGGCTCGATGTGATCACGTACGTACGCACACACCCACGCGCGCGCACGCACGCACGTACGCACACGCGCGCTCATACGTACGCACATGCGCTCTCAAAACACGCGCGCGCACACATGTACGTAAACACGCGCTCGCGCGCGCGCGCACACATGTACGCACACGCGCTCACACGCGCGCGCACACACGTACGTAAACGCGCTCACACGCGCGCATACACACACACGCACGCACGCACACACACACACACACACGCACACGCGCACGCACACGCACACGCACACGCACACGCACACGCACACACACACACACACACACACACACACACACACACGCACACACACACACACACACACACGCGCGGTCGTGCACTCGCGCGCGGTCTTTTACCTCATCGGTTCTTCCACCACCTGTGTGCTCGCACGCACAATCGGCCCGTTGTTACCGTGTGACCTGTCGCGCGAATTACCGAATTAACCCATCGCCACGACAACATCCCAAAATGATCAATCAACAAACTAGATAGAGAGCACTCACGGAGAGTGCATACCTCCGCGAGCGTGTAACATGTATACATGTGTATAACAGCTGGCTCGCTGCTGGCTGCTGCTCACTGCATTCCCTAGGGCGAGCTGCTGCTGACTGGACGCCCTAAGGCGAGCTGGTGCTGAATCGATCGCGCCAACGCTACACACACACACGAACACACACACGAACACACACACACGAACACACACACACGAGAGCGATTACATTACCTCCCTGCAACTCCGTTGCGCGGAGGTAATGAGTTGAGAATGCAAAGCATGCAGACGCGTGCAGACAGCATCTGTACAGTGTGTGCTGTGATCTGTGTGTGCTGTGTTTGCGGCGTGCTAGATGCGCGAGTGCGTCACAGATTTTTCGCACAAGCGTTCGAAATTTTTCACAAACGGCGCCAGACATCCATGCTAGAGTCAGATGACGTTGGGATGCGCAGCAGGGCTCTCACATTGTTTACTTCGTGCGCGCGAGCTTCAGGAAACGATGCGATTTTTGCAGGCACGCCTTCGCCTTTTTAGCCAAAAAAAAACCACGTGAATGTTCGCCTAATAATACTGAGTCACAAGCTTTAGCTGCCGACTCGTTATTTCACAAAAAGGAAGGTTTCTTGCAACGGCGGCGTATTAATAAGGCGAAGACACAATTTTCCGAAGAATTGCGCTCCAGGGAAAAGAGAGTAGCAAACGATCTGATCTGATTGGCTACCGCTGTAATTAATGATGCACTGAGTATTACCATGGTATTACGTATGAAAAAGCTTGTTTTTTTTAAACATTTTTCTTCGATGTTCAGCTCATCTTGCGACACAGTTCATGCACGTACCACTCCGGCACTCCATAATTACGTCAATTTGATCATGACGATGATAACGATGATGATGATGATGATGCTGATGATAATAATAATTTAGTGAATAAATACGAATTATATTCAATACAAAGGTTTCAATGTTTATGCACTCTATATCGTCTCTAATAATTCTACCTATATGCTGTATGCTGTATGCTATATGCTATACGCTTCCCAACAATAGGTTTTTGATTTAATATTGAAGTTTATAGAGTTTACTGGTATGGTAGAGGGGCTGGACCATCAATTGCCAGAAATTCGATGGTCAACTTAACTTTGCTGGTAGTAAAATATCATTCCGATTTATTTACTCTCGTTTTATTACTGGAACGCCCCAAATGCACGCGTTCATAAATTCCATCTGAACCTCGCCCACTGAATCATTGCGATGGCGTCACTCTAAACGACCCCCCACCCCCACCGCCGCCGCCTTCACCGCACGCACATGCTCCAATGAGTCACGCAGACGGAGTGTGGCCTCCCCCTCCCCTCCCCTCCCCTCCCCCACCCCCACCACGCTCCCAACGGACATGGCATACCGAGGAGCAGACGTTACAGCAAGATTTATGATTACATACAGCCAGAGCGATTCGAGGACATCTTGAGCAAATAGACGCATGTAAGATGTATGCGTATATCTGTGTGCGGTGCCGGTGAAACCGTGACACATCGAGGGACAGGTCTAGCTAGCTATCTGCCGGTACGGGCAAATAACACCATCCATCAAAACAACACCGCCACCCCTACTGCTACAGTTCACTTCGTCAACAATCATAATAGTTGCAATACCCTGCTGACGGTTAGTGAAAAACAAACAAGCAAATCTTTCGAGCATGACGACAACAAGATACAATACTATCAAGATGGCTATGACTCATAATATAGACCCTCTATACTATGACACTGCTGATAACATCAGGAGATTGATAGACTCCTGATAACATAACCGAAGAACGTAGGGTTACATTGTTTGGTGCATATTCCCCTACTCTGTTGTCTCTGTAACTCTATATTGTATCTAGACTATAATTAACCTGCTTCATCACACTCCATCATCACAGGCTCCATAGTCATTCACAGCTGGCCATGCTATCACAGCTGCATGCATGCACACCCATGCATGTGTTCATGGTGTTCGACATGAAGTACACACGTCCTGGGACTAGCCGCTTTGCAGCGACAAACGCTTTTCTCCACTCTCGCTGCCCGTCCCTTCGCTACTGTCGGTCCCCTTTTCGCGCTATTCGCTCGTGCGGCGCGGTCAACGCTAACATCAACGGCGCGCGGCACTACACACATAACACGCACGCACAGGACACGACACACATACGCACGAGCACGCACACACAGACACGTCGAGCAAACGCACGCGACGCGACCCGTGCACGGGCACGCCACGCACTGCGCAGCGGCACGCGACGCACGCTTACGGCACACACACACACACAGCAACACGCCACGGCCCAACACACTACACACAACACCAACAGCCCCACGATATATATATAGCACACAGACAGCGCAGATGCACACACACGCTCAGAATATATATGTGCCAATTATCTATTTAGCATTACGTTCATCACTACAAAAGTTATTAATCAAAACGCTCAAGTACAACTAGCGTGGCCGTTCTGTATTATGGTTGGCGTAACAATTACACTGCAAATATAGATGGGTTGGGTGATGGGGCGATCTAGATGTGTTGATGAATGATATATGACAACCAGCGGTGATCTAGAGTAAGATATCGTTTAATTATTCACGATACACGTGTAGTAACAGCGCGGCCCCAGAGCTCCGAAGTCCATAGTGCACATGCCGATCCAGCTTATCGCCACATGCAATGTTCACATCCCTTTATCTGCCACAGCTCGGCTACACATTCCTATGATATGGTTATGTAATTTCGACCCTAGCTAATTCATGCAACGTCTGCGCCTGCTAGCATGGTCTGATGAATATGATAGGGCCTCCTTTGAAAGTGAATATGTATAGCTCCATCTGAATGAAATATGATAAATAGCTCCTCTGAATGAATATGCTCCTTTCTACCCTCTCGCTTTCTCACTCGATCCCACTATTCGTACCCACAGTTTTCTATCCCTGCCTCCGCGGCCCCCGCATGCTGTGCCTCTAGCTTCCACTCTTGCTTACGCCTTATTCCTACCTCGGCTGCTCTTCGCTCTTGCTCGATCTCTCTTCTCATCTACCTCCGTCGCTCTCTGCTCTTCGGGAGAGATCTCTCTCGGTCTCTGTTCAGTCATCTCATCGATGCGTCTTCTGCTGCTCTTCTTGTCGCTGCTCATCTCGATCATCTCAAGGAGACCCCGGTGCTTGTCTCTCTGCAAGTCGGCAGGTCCTCTCTCTCTTCGCTGCTCTCTGATTGCTTCTCTCGCTCTCTCCCCTCATCTCTCATCGTGGCTCGTCTCTCGGCGTCCTCTCGTCTTCGTTTCCTCTCTCTGCATCTTCTCGTCTCTCATCTCTGCGGCATCTCTCTCTCTGTCTCTCTCTCTCTCGCGTCTTTCTCTCTCTCTTGCTCCCGCTGCTCGGGTCTCCGTCTCTTCTCCTCGACGTAATACTAACTGCTCATCAGACCAACGGGGGTTTGGTGGACTGGAATGATTTAACTAACCAACGAGCTATATGCATTTATCATGGCGTGAGCATATCTACTCTCTCCGGTGCCTTCCCCGTGTGTCAATTACCATCATTTACTTATTGGTGTTACGAATCATGAGTCTGACGGGTATTGATGAATAGCCGTGCGCCCATTGGCCTATAATCAACCGTCAGGGACGGCGCGTCGCGTGCCACTCCTAGACCGTTAAGGTGTCAGAACTAAGATAATAGCAGACTAGTACAGTACCGGGCTACTACTTGCGTGATCTCACTGAAAAGCAGTTATGTTGCGAAATGCAGACTTGCCGGCCAACCACACTGTTACTGTTAAGTGATAACCCACTAACGCAACTATAGTGGAAGCAACTCAACTATCAATACCACATTGGCTATAAGTATAAGTTAACCAAACAAACCCCGTAATGTGTGGGTGTAAAATTGCCCACATTAGTGAGGCAATGATCATGAGCATCATTCGCCGCCCCCCCCCATCATCACATACACTATATAGCTCTGCCCCTCCCGTCTCCGTACGCAGATACACCCATACACCATCAATCATGTCTGCTATACTCTCCTTTCTGATCACGCCCATCATCTTGTCAGAAGTGAATAATTAATAGAATCTCTATTATTCACTCCTGGTCTTGTCATATATATATACTCTTGCGCGCTGACGCATCGGGGAGCGAAAGAACATAACGAGATAATCATTAGAGGAGAATAATGAGATCACTTACTTCCATTGATCTTCATGCTGTCCGGAGGCTGCTGCTGCTGCGGATGCTCCTGCTCCACAGGTGAAGCCGCAGCGATGGGAGTCTCTCCCACTTCTTCCATTGCGCCGTAGCTGCCCGAGACGCTGCTTTATAGCACGGAGCCCCTGTAGCAATGAGAGAGAGAGCGTGTTCGGTGTGCTATGCGTGCGTTCGCGTTATTCTGCGTCACAGAGGATCGTGCGTCGCGGCGTTGTGACAACGACGACGCGTCGAGGTGATTGTAAAGTAAATGTCATAGTGTCACGATGTCATAGCATACATGTGTCACAGTAAGCTTAACTTCTGGAAATAGTACTGCTTGCGAGTGTGCGAATTGCAGTAACACTTGACCTGTCCCTGCATGCGATCATTGCTTCTAGGCTTGGTCGGTTTCTCAAAGCTATCTCGTGTGAGTTTGTAAACAACCCGACCGCTTGTCGACACACTGTCGCATTAATATAACTTCCAGAAGTGTGCGATTCGCTCGCTTACAATAGTAATTCAACGTGTGTCACCGTAATATTTGTAGCAGCAGCGGTGTGGCACTTGAAGTGATCGTGGTAATGGGTGCACGCCCTATATGGCGTCCGCGTGTGCTACATGTCACACAAAATCACCTACAGTTAATCTCAATTCACCCATAAAAATTTATTTACTCTGAAACACAACCTACATAAATCATAATCGAATAATTTTATACGGTCAACTTATTTTCGACGTGACATTTTGGCGCCTAGACGGCTCTCAACATCACGACACTAACCGTGCACGTGCACCGCTACTGTCACCATGCGGGACTCAGCAGTCACCATCCCGCAACCAATAAACCTAACCCAGGCGGACATAACAAGAACTCCACACCCCCGAATGCTGTAATTAATGCCCAAGCCGCTGTCCAGTTGACAGCCTCTGCAGATCTATACAGACAAAGCCGTAGTAGAGGTCTGTAATCGTAGTTGACAGCTCCTCTTACTAAACAGATCGATTTCAAATCCACGAAGTCACGATGCCCAGCGAGGATGCCGCAGTTGGGATGCCACGGAGGAGCGTGTACTGTACCGCTCCCTCTGTCGCGGAGCAAGGGAGAGAGTGTACAGTCTGTCTGGGATTGATTTGCCACAGCTGTTCGTATAGCTCAGTATATATGAAAGTTCTAGTATAGTCAGTCAGTCGGTCGCCCACCTCATCCAGTCTCCCGCGATGAGGCGAGGGGCCCTTCAGTACATTCAGCGTATCATCGCAAATTTTCTATGCGTGATTCGCTGACATTTACAGAAATTCGCATCCCGTTTCGCATCTCGTTGTGTCGTCGAAACCCGATAGCGCAATCGAGAACCGCGGCGTATAATGCTCTCGCGCTCCTCGCCCGGAATTCTGCGTATGCTACGCGGAACGGCTACACGAAATCGCTGCTGTAGTTCACATTCACGCACATGTATCCATGCATTCAGCTAGCTGTACGGTGTTTGTGTTCGTATGTTCGTGTGTTTCGTGTGTGTATGTATATGGTTCGGTGCGGCAACCGTGCATGCCCTACGCACGCACGCACGCACGCACGCACGCACGCGCGCACGCACGCGGTGAAATCCCGCTTACTGACACCAACACCTGAAAAACATGATAACGCACTCTGGAACAGGTTCCCTGCGTGTTCGGGTCCTAACAATGCGGGACATATACACGCACGGACAGAACCGCGCCGTCCCTAATGCGGTGACTCATGCGGTTACGTACAACAACTAAACGCTTGCCGCGCAAACGAAGGTCTTAATTTTTCTCTTCATCGGCGCCGTGGAAACAATTTTGGCGCGAAACATTCCCGGACACGTCTCCCCGTTGCCACTGCGCAGCGGCAGACACGATTCCGTTCATCCGGAAAAGTTTGTCTGAAGGCGAATTGAACCTTGTCCAAGATGCTTTGTGAGCGATGGAACTATGTGCACCGTTTGTTTCATTTTGTTTTTGCACGGGGGCGCAGAGAAGAGCTTATTTTGGGTTAAGTTCTCTTTCATTGTTAAAAATTGATCTTGTGTTTGTAAAGCCATTACGTTACTATAGTTATATGAGATTCACTACTAAGTGTATAAATACCATCATTGCACATATACGCATGCGCATATCATTGCATAATACGCGCTCCTAGATAAGATGTTAATTTTGACGTCATTTATATTTACATTATCGGCAGATCGTGCCTAACAATTGTTTAGTTTTCTGACAGCTGATTTTTAAGCAGTCATCATAACTTAGCAAACGGGGATTCAAAAAACGGACACATGGTCACGGAAAATAACTTGAACAGGATAATTTGTCACGCACAGTAAACATCGGTTAACTGCTGCCACGATACAGAATAAGGGAGCAGAAGAGAAGGGGCAGAGAAAGTAGGCGAATAATGGAAGATGACAGAGAGGAGGAGAGCAAGACCTGAGAGGAGGAGCGAGAGAAAGATGAAGATGGAGAGAATGCGGGGGAAGGGGGAGGAGGGAGAACAAGGGGGAAAGGTGGTGGTTGGGGAGGGTAGAGAGGCAGGATGCACAGGAAGAGGAATGGAGTTTTTACGCGGCACGAAAGCGCCGCCGACCTTCTTCTTCATACAGCCATAGATCATCCGCTCCCTAAACATATTGCAAGCAGTTGCATGCAGCTTTGCACGAAGCCTGTCGATGTAGCACAGTACTTAGTAGTAGAACGTGGCAGCCACCATTAGACCGGCGTGGCTGGCTCGCTGTTTTCGGTGGAAATGTGTGCACATATACACCACAGGATGGGCAAGCGAGCCTAACCGTGTTTTCGCGTCGACCGTAAACGCTATATACACGGTGCTCAAATAACTCACAGCTATAAAGGTGTTTACACCGAACTTATCCCGCCGCTCGCTGGGAGGGGGAACGCCCACGCAAATAATATCATCCACGCTCGCATGCCTCTCACATATCCACCCTCCCCGAATCCTGAATCCCTCCCAGATAATCTGCGGCGATGTTGTAAGTGTTCTACGCGTCTGCGTAAATGTAAATATATGTACAACATCTCTGCAGGGTTACATATTTGTATTCCGTATTTGCGATGTTCAATTTGAACGCCGAGCCAGCCAGCCAGCCAGCATATGCACACACACATACAGCTAGGGTATTGACGGGGGGGGGGAACTCGCGGGGAATTTGTGACTCACTGCGATGCGTTCGTGCTAGCTTGTTCTATCAGTCTAGCCAAGCATAGCATTTTCAACCCGACCTCCTCCTCCCCCTCCTATCTCCGCTCATCACCCCTGTGTCTCTCTTTGCTTTAAATTACTAAATAGCGTATTTACCTCTACAGCAACTTTTTTTCAATTTTCGAGGTCAATATTCCATGGGCACAAAATTTTAGTTGAATACAATGTTTGTGTCTCGTCCCACCCAATCAGAATTAGTAAACAAAATATTGCAGGAAACAAATTTGATTATTTTTTTCGACAAACTAGACTGGTGCTAAATGTAAACGACCTTCTAGGACCAAACATAATATTAGACACGTGGATATTCCAGACCTGGAAAACGTCACTTTATATTTACATGACTTACCTACAATTTTTCAAGACCTGTGCGGACCCTGAATAAATCATCAACGCCATAACTTCCCCATGTTTTCCCCTCTATCCCATTACCACTTCCTATCTCTCTTATACGACTATACTACTACAGCAGGCCTTCTCCAACTCCACCGCCACCTCGACCTCTACAAACTTTCTCCATATTCACTGCCATCCCCAGCTCTACAAACTTTCTCTATCTCCACTGCCATCTCCAGCTCTACAAACTTTCTCCATCGTCACTGCCATCTACAGCTCCACAAACTTTCTCTATCTCCACTATGACTGGACCACTACCATGATACCATCCCCAGCTCTAGAAACTTTCTCTATCTCCACTGCCATCCCCAGCTCTAGAAACTTTCTCCATCAACACTGCCATCTTCATCGCTACAAACTTGTTCCATCTGCGCTGCCAATTCTACCTCAACGACCTCCTCCCGACTCCATCTCCGAATCCCGCCTCGGCCATCGGCAACCCCTTTTCGTAAACAGCACGCTTTACTTCCAGTAGCCCAGCAGACACGTTTACCAGTTGCCGTGGCAGTACCCGCCTCGTGCAAACATGCGGCCATGTGCAGCATTTACCGAAGCTTTGCCAAGTCGACTCACTAAGATAGATAAGACTACTGACTATTATATATATCGTGACTCTACTGTCTATGGTCTCAGCTCCCTCCCCGTGACTCAATAAGTCTGGTGCAAAAAAAAACCCTGGAGAAACACGTGCGAGCAGCTCGCATGCCCCGTGGCAGCGTTAACTGTAAACAAGGCTCTAATCAGAGAGCACACACTCCTTTTCCATGGCTGCTGTTACACTGTCGAGGAGGGGTGGGCGTGCGGGGGCGGCGGCGGCACGGGGAGGGGGGGAAGAGGTACTCACGGAGATCTCTGTAACTGCTCCGGCCGTATCTCAATGAAACAACGATCGGCTACTGCTGCGTGAACGCCGAGGCAGATGGACGTAGTGACAAGACTACTTGCTATCCTTCGGTTCCTCCAGATGGTGCCGATCAAGCCAGTCGCGGGTGTAGCAACGCGTTTTCTGCTGCTACTGCCGCTGCTGCCGGTGATGAGAGCAGCTATAGGTTGATGGGCCAGCCTAGGAGAGAGCTGCAAAAACAAACGTGCTATATACACGCCTCCGCCTGCTGTGAATCCACAGCGGAACTCTCTGGTATGCCGGCCCAGGTGGCTATAGTATAATATCTATAGCTACCGTATCAGGGGCAGTCACAGATAGTGTAAAAGTAGTAGTGGTAATCATGTCCATATGTCCATATAGAATTTTAATGGCCATTTGGGCCGCCTTACTCTAGTTACTCCCTGTATGCTGCTGCTGTAGTATTTTGTACGCGCGTACCATCCAAGACCAGCTTGCTAAAGACAGGCATCTTGCTAAAACCCAATGCGTCGACGGGTGCAACTGTTACAATCACATCTAGTCTAAAGTGCTCCGCCGATACTGTTATGTCTGTCATGTTATGATTAAGCCGCCACGCGCCTAGCAGAGGTCAACCTCGCAGCACCGCCCACAAACTAGGCTCAGCTCAGTCAGCTGCTCAGCGTAGGTGAAGCCGCTCAGATAAAAAATACTGAGCTCTTCTCCTTTAAAGCGGCACCAAGTCCTGACGGTTCCAAATTACACAAAAAATCACTCCTGTTGAGATACATGATGTCATATAATCTATATAGATGTTTGTTTATTGATCCTCCAAATTAAAATGAATCATACATCACCTAAAATTTTATAACAATAGAAAACTATTTGCGGCGTAGGTGAATCTGCGCAGAAAAAATGCCGAGCTATTCTCCTGTAAATTAGACATGCGTTGCCTACGTATTTTGGAGCCAGTTGGTTCCACCCATTGTTAACAAACCGGTACTACAACTAGAATTAACTGAAGAGTAACATGGCCATCATTAGTTTGCAAACTTCACCACATAACCTCTGCGCATATTCGCTCCTTCGCTGGTTATCTCTCGCCCATGTTCAGTTCTTCACACTGGCCCTCAGCCCCTCACCCATATTTTCTTCGTCCATGTTACACCTCCATCCAACCGTCTACTATAGTTGCCCACTCGCAGCTGTTAACCTCTGAGATTCTTCCCCCTTTCATCCCTTACATCTCGGGGGAGAGGTGGGATGGCGTTGGCACTATTTGCCAGAGAGAGAGAGAGACTAGGCAAAATCGCACGAAGTTACTACAGTGTACTCATGTCCTGGAGCGTACAATTACACTGGAATTCTCGCCGATCAGCCCGCATTCCGCCCGTGTATGTGTACTCGCGCCAAAAATATATTCCCGTGAATCAGTACCCTTTCTATACATAGCACAATTTATGGTGGCGGGATGGAATAACGATGGCCGGCATTCGTTTCTACTGCCCGAAGCAACACTGTAGTCGACTCGTCGCAAAATGCGCGATGGCGAGAAGAATGCGTACGTACTTAAAAGCAGAATGAATTTTAATGAGCGATTAAGACGTAGCAGAGGAGTTAAGACAGGAAACGAACGAGCGTGGTGTCAAGTAAAACCGTCCGATCAGTGAGTTTGACAGTGTTAACTTTGATTCACAAGTGTGAACGTACTAGGAGACTAAAAGACTACCTTCTTCTTTAGGCCGGAAGACGTTTATGTTCCGTAGACAGGTAGGCATCTCTCATTAGTAATGGAGATCAATGGGAAAGCCTGAATCCATTTATAGAACTCTACATTCTAACCTTTTTTCTATAGAATATTGCTGCTATAATAATGTGTGATATCACAAGAGTAAGATAATAACTCATGGGTTATTATCTTACTCTTGTGATATCTTTGTGTGTGCGCTTCCGATTACCATAGATATGAAATGCAAAGCACAGACCATCTCCAGCTGCAGATCCTGCACCTGGCGTAATAAATACAAGAGGAAGTATGGCTTCCAACGACATGCCATGCATACATGAGACGAACTTGCACTTCCAAATATCTCCTTTAATGTTCACATTGTAAGCAAGTGGAATAGTCTCGTACTGTGTAACACTAACAGACACTGTAAACCAACTGACAAAACCGTGCATGTTATATCGCAAATCATCATATTAACCATGGGGTTACCATAGCAACAGAGACTCCGCCTCTGAGCTGTCGATGCTCGATCTTTCAGCTTAAGATTTCGTGCAAATTTCAGCAAACATGAGGAGCACATACCAACTCTTAAATGTATATTATTACTTCAACATCTCTAGTAGTTCAAGTAGGAATCTCATGTAACAGTTTGTATCAATTACTCTCTAAATCTATTCTCATAATTCACAAGACAGGCTCACCACTGTAAGATCATCGGCGCGAAAACAGCATTCTATGAACTGCTATCAAACACATTGTGGCATAACGAGTATCTCGACCATGTTTACGTAATGACGAGCTGAGAACGTGCACATTGAATTCTCCTTGCAAATTGAATTCTAGTCCAACAAGCAACATGCAAATCCTTCATGATTGAATGTGTTCTGTGCAACTACTGAAGCTGTAATACAGATGGATATATCTGGGTCATGCCATTCAGTGATTTGTCTACATGCAGGGATAAGCTGACAAGATCCCCATGCTAGACTTGCAAGTGAAATTGCAGATAATACATTAATTAGAGTACCAGCCATAAGGTCAGAGACCGATCTATAGAATCTGCAAATGTAAGGCTGTGGCATAGCATGCCAAATAGCAGGTGGCATTTTTACAAACATAATCGATGTAAGAGTACCAGCAAAGGTACCAGCAACGGTACTTACGCTTACAGCTACTTATGACAAAATCTCAATATTTGTAAGTAGGACCAAGTAATTAAGTGCAGCGAGTAAATAATACTCAAAGGAGGTTTAGAGTGTGTAATGTGTGGAATTCTACAATTGTCGGTATTGATTGGTAAACCGTAAAGATTATACCCCAAATTAATTGATATCCATAATGCAACCCTACGACACTCGCAGCAGGTCTCTGCTACATGTAGCTGCAGCGAAGGGGCTACATGGGTAGAACTAGTTATAGCATAGGCCTAAACACCTACGCTGCGTTGGGCTACATTATTGAATAATATAATAAACACGAGTCTTGGACGACCGGCACTAGGACTTTGATTTATGCTGACAAAACCATGATTTGGCAATAATACTAAAATAACAAAACTAGCAAAAATTAACAAAATTGTCTATGTATACAGCCGGCACCGACTTGGTTTGCAATAGCACGAAGGGTCGTTGTCGTATCAGGTACTACATATATGTACCCGAGGTAGTTTTAGGTTGTTTAGTATTGTTTATATTTTTATATGAGGTATGTTTAGGGTTAGGGTTAGGGTTAGGGTTAGGGTACACTTCTGTAGTACAAGTCTGGTACACTTTGTGTATACATATATGTACCTCGGGTACATATATATGACTATATACTAGACTATATAGTATATACTAATATATACTACTATATATATGTAGTACCTAAGTAGTAGTACTAGTAGTACCTGATACGACAATGACCCATTCAGCTCTAGTTACTAGAGCTAGGTTCGCCAAAGCCTACTAGGCTGATGACAAACACACTGAGTTGATGATGATCATTTACGATGTACGTTTCACGAACCGATAACGTCAGGACGGGCACCACCGTGACCACGCACAGGCACAGTGCTAACAAACACAAGTTTCAACCGAGCAAACCGAGCAGCATTATTTGATTATAAATGAACGAGGGTAAATTACCTTTCGTATGCTGTTTCTAAGGTCGTCCAGCAAATGATACGACTACGAGTGTGCAAATCACGGGTATGTGTTTACACTAACTACTACACAGACTGCCTGGGCCAACACTTTTAATGTTTCAGACCATGGTGGCACTACCGAACTTCAAACACCGCTCCGTAAACACAGAAGTCAGCACGCGCGCGCCTTCGCTACTTCAAAATTATGCCCCAGGCGAGACACTAGCGCCGACCAACGGCTAGAAACGCAGCATTGCAAAAAATAGGAAAATGCAAGTGTTAGCAGAGAGTATTATCATGCATGCCCATTACTATCTCTCTTACATCTATCTATCTATCTATCTGGATAGTTTACTGCGTAGCCCACGGTTACGTGGATAATAACGCAGGGAGGTGTGCTCTATCTATCCATCCATCCAACCCCCCGCCCATCCATCCATCCATCCATTCATCCATCCATCCATTCATCCATCCATTTATCCATCCATTCAGCCATTCATCCATCCATTCATCCATCCATTTATCCATCCATCTATCTTTCATTTATTAAATTTAAAGACCCAAACCTTTAAATTTAATGATTATCATTACAGGCAACCAATTCTAACAATCAATATCAAGACAGCAAACTAATTCCTGCAACTTGGAGAATAGTAAGGGGTGGCAAAAGCCACGACTGGATAGCCTTCAACGTCCCCTTACCCTCATACATAACTCAGGTCCGTAACTAGCGGGGTGCAAGTGGGCAAGGGTCGCAGTTGCCCACCCAGAATATACCGGGTACAACACATGGTCAATGGCGGACACCTCCACAGAACACATCATGCACACTCACAGCTTTGCACCCCTTCACAAGGAAAAATGGGTTAGCTACACTCCTGTAGCTGTTATGTCTCTTGTTGAGCTGGTATGTAACAAATTGATATAACTCGATGTGAATTAAATATTTAGTTCAATCAATTTCATGAAGAATAGCAAAGTTTTAAGACAACACTATGCAAGCAAAACATAGTTATATTGTGACCACAGAAACGATATACTAGTTAGACCTATAGTGTGGTTCTATATAGTGTCTCTAAATATTTCTATGATTGTGATATACAAAAAATAACAACAACACTAAAGTACGGGCATATATGTATCACATTATATTTATCATCAGAATATGAGCATCATCAAAACATTCTGATTGTATTCACATTGCAATGATAGCAGAGATTGCACTCTATAATCCACGATGAATTACCAACTCTCTGCTTAGGCTGCTATAATCACTGATAAATACAAAAAATATATTGGCTCAATAACATTGCATTGCGACAAAACCTTAGTCAGATTACACAGTATATCACAGTCGCCAGGAGTTGGAAGTCTAGAAAACATTAGTAAAAGAACATGGACAGATTACTGGCAGAGTAACACCCTGACTAGCACTGCTCTGTACAGAGCTTTTTTGTCATGCATTTTTTTACGAGTTCTATTTTTACTAATAACTATTAAAAAAAACTCAAATAAAATTCAATAACGTAGCCAAGTCATGAATTCGAATGCACAGAACGTGAGGAGTCATAGAGGAATTTGAAAAATTGGGCATGCGTGCTTCACAGCAATGATCAAAGGCACTGATATTCACTGCAATCCAGTGGTGACCTATAGGCTTCATGTGTGCACAACCCTGTGTAAAGCACTGACCTGGTTAGTGATCAATTTTCCAGTAACATAACCCCTGCACTAATCGGGACATTAAGCCTGGCGCACACGTGAGTTATTTTACTCAAGTAACATGACGCACGAGTCAAATTACTCAACGAAAATCTGCCGCACACGTGAGTAAAATGACGCATGCGTCAAATTACTCAACCAAAATTTGCCGCACACGTGAGTAAAATGACTCATGCGTCATTTTACTTGAGTAAAATAACTCACGTGTGCGCCGGGCTTTAGTGTATTTACATCCGATTATGAAACTATTTCAATTTGCCACCAGTTCAACCTGGGTTTGATATGCTAGTAGGACAAGGGTTCACTAGCGTCCCAAACCGATTGTCTAAAATCACATATACACATGACGAGCGTTCCACACAGCATGATCAACAACACGAGCACAGCGCTTCTAACAAACCCATCAATCAGCTAATCAATCATTTAGATGTTTGCTCATCAATACACCGAGATCATGCAGGTGACATCTTGGATTGGCTGTTGCAGTATCATCAGCTAATCCAGAGACGTGAAGGAAATTCTGAGCATGTCATCCCTCACTGAAACACAAACAAGTCTTACCAAAAAATATACTTGATGCTACACACACAGTAATTGCATGGAATGCTAATGCGTTGGATTTTATTACAGTAAATGCTATTGAAGCAGATGATGTTGCAATGAGTGTGATTGTAATAGCTGCAATTCAAACCAAATTCATTACGAAAATTTCGATCGTGGATAGATTAATGTAGCAGCCATTATATTGGTGATATATAATTTGTATTAAGTGATATCATGAGGTTCAATGCTAGTTGCATGATACATTTAGTTGCAGTGGTACATTCTTATTACAGTTGATACCCTTGCAGAGGCTGATATGAATTTCTAATATTTGAATTCCTACTACGTGCATATATGAAAATAGTACAGTATATCTATAAAAATATTACTCCATCCCAATTTAATGGTACAATGAAATGCTTACATGACTGGAGGTCTACCACGAATCTTCCTTGGTCCTTCATATTTTGGACAACCTGTTTAATGAAATATGAAATAGAATCAAGTAAATGCAAAATGCTATTGGGATACAGCAGTGCACGCTTATGCATTCTGGCAGAGAGCGAGAGACACACACAGAGAGAAAGAAAGATAGCGAGAGACACAGAGAGAGAGAGAGAGAAAGAAAGATAGCGAGAGACAGAGAGAGAGAGAGAGAGACAGAGAGAGAGAGAGAGAGAGAGAGAGAGAGAGAGCGAGAGACACAGAGAGAGAGAAAGAAAGATAGCGAGAGACACAGAGAGAGAGAGACAGAGCGAGAAAGAGAGAGAGAGAGGAGAGAGAGAGAGAGGGAGGAAAGGAGTGGGAGGGGGAGGAAGGGAAGAAGAAAGGGAGGGGTAAAGAGAGAGAGTGTGAAAGAGAGAGAGAGAGAGAGAGAGAGAGAGAGAGAGAAAAGAAAGTGAGAGAAAAGTGAGAGAAGTGAGAATGTAGAGAGAAACACACAACGACAGAGCAGGTGCATGAACGAGGACAACCAGATGGATGGGCTGTCAGACCACTCGCCCACCCACCTCGTTAGTAATCATCACTGTGATTCCGTTCGGGCCCGTCCAGTGCATATCCATGATGCAGTGAACGTGCAGCTGGAGGATTTCGGCAGTCTTGACTGCAAGCTCGCGCGACGTCAGCTGCTCGAGAAAGATCGCGTTGTAGACCTGCTCCGACTGCTGGCACAGGTACAGAGTCAGACGCGGTCGGACGCTCCTGTAAGCACAGCGAACACTCGTCAAGTCGATTCCGCAGAGCTGACGACAGCGGAGGAGGCGTGGTTGCCGACTCTACACTCAGGGTTTCAGGTTGACAGGCTGTAAACTGCTGGGTGACGACGGAAAGGTGGGCGAGTGCTGCATAATCCAACTTGAGCATTTTTTCTCTACAGTTTTTTTCGAAGGTGGCCGATGGCATGAAGTAATCAGGAGACGCATAATGCGCAGGTTATATTAGTAACATGATTCATTGTAACATAATAGATAACCACGTATGAGTTAGAACATGCAGTTTCCCCACGTGGCGGGCCGAGTGAGTGCTAGAGAAGAACAAAACGCTGCATGAATGGTGCAGGAGAGGGAAGTGTGAATATGGATGGGATCGAGAAAATCCGTAGTCGGAAAACTACTTGCCTACCTTCCATGCAGGGCGTTCGATAATCGAATACCATCAGCAAGGCCGCAGATTTCAATGAGGTCTTCCTTGTTAAGTCTCAGCAAGTCGGTTCCTGAATATGAAGAGTAAGATTCTGAGTGATTGAGTGATTTAAGAGATTCCTGAGTGACTGGTTAAATTAGTACCTAATCACATCTTCTGTGACTACTGAATCATTTAGTAAGTGAGTGAGTGGTTAACTCTACAGCTACATCTACTTTAATACTGGATAATCTATGCATGCAGGAATCGTGTCCAGTGATTTCCTCAACTTCATGGGCACGTGGGTAACTATACAAAGAAGAAACAAATAAATTTAAAAAGTATTCTGCAGTTTCCCAGAGGTTGAGGATTCACTGGGTTATGCAATCAGAAGGCAGGAGCTCTAACATAGCTCTATATAGTGATGGGCAGTCTAGAGCTTATATAACTGCCCTGCTAGAGTATAGTGTTGTTCTCATGAGGCGGCTTTATAGCGACAAACCATGAGACTCCATTTGCGAAAAAAAAAGCCGTCCAGTGAACTCCGATGACTGACTGGTTAGCATAGCAACTGACAAAGTGGCCAGCTGATAAAATATTCTGCGGTGCATTTTGCAGACACATGCATACGCGCATACACATATGCATACATGCATTAATGCACACGCACACACATGCACACGCGCACACACACAGACACACACTCACTCACGTCCACGCTAGCAAATCTCAGCGTTTCCTCATAGTAAGAAACCCAACTGCAGCCGCCGGCAGTTTGTGCATCGCAGCGACGACAGACATACCTGAGAAGTTGGAGAAGATGGTCGCGTGATTGGCGAACCTGTTTGCACAGAGCCAGTGAACAACGGTCTCGGACGAGTCCGACGGCAGCAACGTCTCTCTGGCCGCCAGCACGTCGCTGTTAGTGGCGGACGTATTCAAACTGTCCATGCTAGAAGTGCTGTCCTTGCGGTGCATCGCCGGCGTTCCGGCGCTGCTGCCTGACCTGCGAAATTTATCAAAGTAAAAAAGTAAAAAAAAGTGCAGATGTCAACACAAAGAGGAATAACCACTTGGGATAGCTTGAAACGTTCGCGCATCTTTGCCCAGACAGAGAGTGTACACGCTGACTCAGAAGTGCAACCATGCAGCAGAAAAATCGAATTGCCTGAGAAGTGGTAACCTGCTGTCACTAAGATGATCCCATAGCATGCCACGTGCAGATCCAAATAGTCTGGTCAATATTCATGACTGCACGTGACAGTTGGTTACAAAAAAACTCGCTTCCATTAAAAACATGCTTTTTTTGGCTACATAATAAACATTAGCTCACGCAGATGCTTCATGATCATCACAGCGCTATCACGACAACGGCCACGCGATGGAGCCACTGTAAATACTACGCGAGTGAGCGCGATCACCGCGCGACACGCTCGACAGATGCGCTCTCGCTCCTCGCGTCGCGCTCCGCGAGCGCCGACAACCCTCACCAGGGGGAAGCACTGGAGTTCATGTTCGGAAAGCTGCCTATCCGGCCGATTCCAGACGGCGTGCTCTGGCACCGCGGAGGCTGCATCAGCGGCTCGGCGGCACCAGCGCACGGCGCCGCCGCGTAGCTCATCGTCGCCTGTTGGCTCGCCTGACCATTGTCGTACGCACACTGAAACGCAGGGGAACGAAGCGTCATTGCTCAGTCACAATGCAGAAACTCACGAGTTTGCATCGACTGTGAGTATTGGAATGCATCATCTTGCACCAATCGTGGTATACCACCATCGAGATCCATCTGGGTCTGTTATGGGCAAAACCTTTCGCAGATAGGCTCTAGATCAGTTTGGAAGTCACATAAGCTTATGCACTAAGCATAAATCTAACATAAATATGCGTAGCAACTAGTAATGGCCATACTGAATTAATGTGGCTTTTGTATTTTAAAATCAACTCTAGATTTATTAATCAGTTGATGTTTGGCCAGATGGTGAACCTAACCTACACTGCAAATCATAGCAATAAATTTAATCGTAGTAATTGATAATTACACTAATAAATGTCTCGCGTGATGTTAGATACACCACGTCATGTAGCAAGGGTGCACACCAAATTACAATGTTAGAATTTCCGTATTTTTCATTAGAATTTGTAGCAGAGATCGTCCAAAGCAAACTCCACTTGATGGCTTTCCGGCAAGCGCTTACAGCTCTCCCTAAGCCAACAACTGCTTGGTTGAGCTTCGTGTAAAAACTTAATCACAGCTAAACCGTGGTAGGGCTCACCTCTGATAGCACTGTGCAGTCGTATGATGGCTGGTATTTCTCCTGCTCATACCCACATCTCTTCCCTAACTTCTCTCGATCAGTCTTGTGTTTTCTGTCAGCACCCTTCGGCTGCAATCGCACAGAACTCGAGTAAGCAATGTAGCTTCGGGCGTCTTCTCAAATGTGTCTGATGATATTTCAAAAGCAACGTCTCACTATTGATACCTCAGTACTACTGTAGGTGTAATTTGAGATATCTTGCTTTTTATATTTCAATTGTGACATCTTGGTTTTCAAGTTTGTTAGCAGACTGGACTCAAAGGCAAGGTGCAAGATAGTGATGGTTAGAATGTGTAGATTAGTGTTTAGAGATGTTCAAATGACTTCTGACGTTATAATTGAGCCTGCAAGCCTCTAGGTAGGATCACCACTTGAGTTCTACACTCATTTAGTATGTAAAAAATGCCAAACTATTGAACGTCTCTTAGCATAGCTAATATTCCCAATAATAATTCCTAAAAAAAATACAACTATATGTATGCTCTGGATTCCATACTGATTCCAACAACCAAAATGATATATATGGCACACAGTAATTATATCAGTAGTCATTCAGGATCTATCTGTTAAGGTTAAAGATGGATTAATCTGCTAATGTTATCTATCGAGCTAATAGCAGGGTATCGCTTGCAGGGGCCCGCCAGGCTATCGTCGAGCCCCGCCATCCTAAAATGCACCCGCCACTCTAAATATCATAGCCGCCATGCTAAATATCATAGCCCCCAGACCCCCCTAGCACGCAAACCGCCTTCGGTGATTTGCAACTAGGACCGTAAAGGCAGCACCCCCATGCTATATTGAAAAGCTTGGAGAACCCTGAATAATACCTATTATTAGGTATTATTAGCTCTTGACATACTGTAGATATTGCCAATATCAGCATGAACGATGACTTGACTCAAATAAGACCACTCTGTTATCAGCAAAATTGGCAGCAACAAACTACCTCAACAGTTACTGCGCTAACAACAGACACAGTTTAAATCACTCTACCTTGAAGACCTTGATCTGACAGGAAGCACTGTGTAAGTGTCTGGGTTCTTCATTAGCACTGGTCGGGTAAGCGAACGTGTCAATCTGCAGACGAAAGGGCACGCCCTTCTCTCCCCCACGCTTCCTTGCTGTAAACTCAGTACTGATGCAGTGCACCTACAAACACATATTCATGGATTCAGCAAATTCAGCCTTCACGACACAAGTAAGAAAGTGTAATCTCACATTCTAGGGAAGTGTTTTCATTCAATTGATTTATTGTTTGCAGTTATCTAAGAAATTCCAGGGCTGAAGCAAGATCACTAAGAAAAACCCCTATAGTTTTGCCACATGTATGCTTTCACACACGGCGTCGGCCCACGCAATTAAGTAACTACGTCGCATTCAGGTTGATGTGATTTTGACATGTGTGCAAATTGCTGCTACCTTGAATATGACTAATGATGTACTCTTCAGCCAACAGTTGACATTTCACACTTAAAGCCGCACTATGCGCATCCAAACGCTAAATTCTCCAGTACTAGACTAGCAAATACTTCGTGTCATGCATAATCACACTACCTTATGACAAAATAAACTCTAGTTCCTCCCATTTCACTGCGCGTTGTCTTATAAAACGCATTTGAAAATATTTACAATGTTGTTCAAATTCTCTGTTGTTGACACTTTCGCGTTGCCCTGCCAAGCAACCGCACAGCGGTGCTGCGGTACAGTGGTACGGGTGTAGCAAAGATAAAAACATGTGACGTCACCTAACCGCTTCGAGGCTAAATTGTTTGGCAAACAAGTCGGCGTTGGCCGCGTTTTCTCACCTCTTTATTGTGAGTTTTAAGCAAACGCACAGTGAAATGGGAGGAACTAGAGTTTATTTTGTCATAAGGTAGTGTGATTACGCATGACACGAAGTATTTGCTAGTCTAGTACTGGAGAAATTAGCGTTTGGATGCGCATAGTGCGGCTTTAATTCAACAAACTGAGAACAAACCTGTACATATACTCCAGCCTCCTTTGTTGGATCCCATATAAACTCTGCATGGTTAATGTCGAGTGACTTGACATCCATGATGCCATATGACAAAGGAACATCTTTAGAGAAAAGATAAAGCAGTGTATATTAGTGCCACATGTCACTTCCGTTGCACGTAGTAAAAAGTATTCAGTAATTGAATATGTAACATTGAGGAGCTGTTTGATGGTGTAACAAGCCAATGAAATAGCAATGACAGCTATGGTGTTGCCTAGACGATTGCCATTACCTATACTCAGCATCCGATCCGAGGGATGAGCTAGCCTCCAATGGGTGACCTGCTCTGATTCGATGTACTGCAGCTTCCGTTCATGAAATCCCACTCTAACCTGACTCTACACGTCATGGGCAACACAAAGAAAGTGAAAATAACATCCTATATTTCTATTAGGTTTCCATACACTATATTTACCCCAGGAGCTCTGCATGTGCAGAATAGCTAGTGAAATTCAAAGCAAGGCTTATAAAAATGTAAATATTACCTTAACGTATTGTCCCTGAAATTCAGACAAATCACCGAGTTTCTTCAGTCTTATGTCATAAGATTGCCCTATAAAGGAAAAGGGAAAGCAAACTGTTATCATATATGCCTGGACATACACCAGACACACATGTACAATTAAAATGTGCATGGCTGTAAACTGCTCCTACTTTACATTTAACTTACAGAAGGTAAAGCAAAGGTTACCTTGATTAAGATACGTAAGGGTCTCCTCATTCACCTTTGTTGCTGGTGATGTCGCAGCATTAAGAACATACTGAAACCTGCAATATCAGATCATACAGCTATGAGGGAATCCATGAAATACGTATGTACGTAAACTAATGAAGGAAGAGATATGTATCAGCAAAACTTTACCTACTCCAAAAGCTTTTACCAGGTAAAACTCGCCATTCAAATCCCAATTTTTAATATATTCACTCAGTATTATTTAGGTTGGCCAAATACAACATGTTTTATGCAAGAAAAAACACACAAAAATAGAAATATTTTCTCAATTTTTATACTTTACGCATCTTTTACAATAGATGACGAGCACAAATATAATGAAGGATCACAACTAACCCATTTTCTAAATCCTTGCGATTGAAAACAGGCAGGGCGAGCAAAGCCTCACTGCAAACAGAATAAACAAGCATTAATAACATCAAAAATAATGCCAGGTATATTCCTCTCACAGGATAACACTGACAGCTATCTATCACCTGCCTTGGTGATACAAGTGGTAAGCGGCCTGCTATTAAAAGCTTAACACACCTACATTTGTGGCACCGTTTCAAAGTTTGATTCCAAGAATGTTTGATAGCTCATGGTTCACTACCAAATTCACCTGGCTGCAGAAAAAAAGTAACTAGCTGCATATTAACGTAAAAAGTTGCCAGATATGGGTATAACAAACTGTAATCGCCTACATTGGTGTAGAAAAGGTACCAGTAAATGGACTTTACCCTAACCCTATCTGAGGTATGTGAGTACACATAAATAGCATTTCCACTTAATTTTTGTCAGACTATTTTTTTATTAAACTATTTTTAAATATAACTGAGCCACTGCCTACTAGAAAGTGATTGATTAATTTGATGGAGCCAGGCGACCTTGTACTAATGACCTCCAATACAAGAGTTCATCAGCATGCATTATGTACCATCGTTTCTGACTCCCGCACATTACATATATTTGTATTGTACATGTACATGTATTTGTACATACATGTATGTATTTGCACATGTACATGTATTTGTACATACATGTATG